TCCGCCTCTGTACAGGAGTTTCCAAACGTTTTTTAGTACATTTTATTTGAAATATGAACATGGCCGACTACTTTTAACCACCATATCTCCTACACCACCACAGCTACAGATATGCAACTACCATACTTTATAATATCATGACAAAATTATCAGTTGTATATGTATCGTCACTCCATCCTATCTTAGACCAATCTTCCCTAATTTTGTGTTAGGACTCACCCAGATTTCCTTTGCCTCATCTGTATCTGCTTCTAATATGTCTCCAAACAGTCTTTCACGCCTCAGAAGGTGTCTTACCATATTCTGATGCCTCATTCCTTCTGACTTTTCCTATTTGCGATATTTTCACCATGTATCTAACTTCTACCACCGTCCACATTTAGCACTCATACAAAACTGTGCACCACTCATATCCATTAAATTAAACGGTGACCAAATAATTACACAGATCTTAACAATTCTCATTTTTTAAATATTGGAGTTTTTCTACCTACACGAATAGTGGTGTTTGCACTATATCACCAGCTGCGAAGATTGAGTATAATTCATAGTTTTCAGTTTGAAGTGATTGTGATTTAGTTTTTCTATCTTTATGTTATAGTTTCTTCAGTTCAGAAACAAATAATTCTTCTAAACGCTTCCTTTGTCATCTGTGTTAATTGGAAAAAAGACACTGATGCCAAAATAGTTTGTTTACCGTGAAAGATCAGAGCCAAAATAGGGTTGCAAATAATTTTATTAATGTAAAATCAGCACAATCATTTTATATCAAAATATTTACAACTCCATTTTGTTTCCGATCTTTTACATATTGTAATAAGAGAAAGAAATGGAATCCATAGTTTCCTTAGCTTTGGGTTTAATCTTATAAGTGAAGTTTTCATTTATTAGCACACCACATATCAATTCGATATTATTTTGCGGGCTGTTTTGTCGTAATTCATAAAATTTCGTAGTTCCTTGCTAAAGGTACGATAAGCGGTGATTTCGCAAGTGCTGATACCAATTTCAACCATTAAAACTCCATGGACCATGACATTGAACCCGGAAAACAAAATCGATCCAATATTTTAGAATTCCATTTTCAAGGAGTCTAAAATTTTTTTGGCTCTCCAATTAAATAATGTCTCTTTGTGTCCTTTTTAAGCTTCTAATACCTATAATAGTCAATGTAAGCAACTTTCATTCATCATTTTATATAATGTTTGATAGGTAATTCTAGCAAATACGTTTGGAAAAGTATTTTAAACAGAATACATAATGCTTTTCTCAGAAAAGCATTTAAATGCAAGATAAAAGTAGGTATTGTTTATTTTCTATTTTTTGAAGAAATTTTGAGGCAAAGTTTGAATTCAGTAAAAAAATAGGTTTTACTTGTATTATATTGTGTTGTAGTTTTTGAGATTTGATAGATAATTCTGAAATTGAATTCGGAAAATTATTGCTTATGTGTAAGTCAGAAGTGAGATTTCCGATGATTTTGGTTTTAATTAAAAGATACGATGATTTTTGGATATTTATTGCTTTGTTAATACAGCAGGCGCGGTGGCATTGTTTGTTGAATTTTTAACTAACGAACAGATGTTTGGTGATTTTTTAAGTATACGATTCCTTCTGTACCTTTAAAGGCAAGCGTGAATATTCTCAATTCAAGTTTTTAAAATGGCGTCCCGATTTTGGAGTTTTCCATCATTCGAACGCTAATTATCTTTTATTTTTTGTTTAATTTGTTAAACGATTATCTAATCTACTACTAATACAAGATTACTACCACAATAATCTTAGTTACGTAAATAAATTAATCAAATTATATTTACGTAAGAATATCTACCTATAATTTCATTTTACGATAAAAATTGAAGAAAGCAGTAAACAATTGGAAATATACAAATAAGTATTAAAAAGTAGATAATAAAAACTTACCTAGAGTGCAGGAGAAAATGTGAGATTGCATTAAACTAAACACTGAACTGAGTTGGGAAATTTAGAATTGAATTACGTAGAAATGAACAATACAGAATGAATTTCTAGATACAAATGGGTTAGAAGAAAAAGGCCATTGGCCGTATTTTTCAATAATTTTTCGAATTAGACGTATCCAAAGCTCGAAATGTAACTTTATTCGGAATTTGGACGAGTGTAAACGATCAAGCCTAGGATTGGGAAACCTGGTATATACCATCAAAGCCTTCTTTTCGAACTTCAGATCACATGCAATTGAATATTATTCTGTTAACCTATGTAATCTAACATAAGAAAAGAATTTTTAGAATAATTTTTGTCTATTTTATGAAAAATCAATTATTAGTAAAACAATAGAGTTGCGGCTTCAATCACTGCGAAAATTTTTTCAGTTAGTATGTTAGATTAAGTTAGGGCTGGGTTAGGTTACATTTGTTTCTTTGTTAGTGTTCTGTTTGTTACATCCACCCCTTCAAAATTCTAAAATAACGTTTTGGACATGTATCAATGGCCAATAGCCGTATTCTGTCTTTGAGTCCAACAGAACGTCCAATAAAATTTAGGTAGAATAGAATTAATGGCTTACATACAGTTGAAGTTACAAATATAAATTTTACAAAAATTACATGTTTTTATAAAAAATTTTCTGACCACAGCATGCAATTATTAGTCGCGTCACCCTAAATTCCAGTCGGGCATTGCCTAATTTTTTGTGTAGTTTAGACTTATTACCAAGATCTTATTTATAGAGAATTTGAGTGCGAGGTGCATGAATTAGAAATGGGATAGCAAGCGCATCAATTTGCATACACTCATGATAAATAACACATCGAATGAAATCTAAATAGACTTTAATTAATTAAAAAAACAAAATTTATATTAATTACACAGAAACCTTTATTTGTTTGTCGTTGTCCAACTTGATTAGCTGTATCATTAGAAATCATCATTAATTGACTAAAATATACAGGCCACAATTTGTTATGCTCATGAGGTGTTTATAAATCAATTGCGTTTATTTGAGCCCTCGACATCGCATTCCCGTTATGTATTTCTTATAAAATTATAAAATTGTAAAATTAAGAGTTATTAGGGAATTTTGTAATTTTGACTTTTTATAAACTTGAACCCCCAAAAAATTAAGGCTGCGAATGTCCAAGATATACCGGCTGGGTTCAAGTCAATTTTAATTTGTATATGATATAATAGCGTGACAGGGTATCGCAGATGATATGTGTTTTAATGAAAATGGATTTTTGTGTAATGGAAGAACACGATTCGTAAATTTTCAAATCGGACATGTGGGATTTCATTATTTAAAATGGCTCAACCTTTGTCTCATGGAGCTCCGGAAGTAACCCCGTATTCCAGCCATGCATTTCTTGTGAAAATTGAAAACTACGCGTTATGTAGGAATGTTATAATTTGCCTTTCAGTTTTTTCTTTAATTAGCTCCCAAAAATTCTTATGTATCGGGCTCAGAATGTCCAAGATCCGCCATTAGATCCTCGGCATACGGACTGGAAATAATAGTCGGCAGGGAACTAATATCGACCTTCATTTTGTTAGTATTAAGAAACTAAATCTCTCTTTGTTTCTAATATTTCTGTGTAAAAGTTGTGTAAAAGAAATTAAAAAAACACTGGAATTTTCTCACAAATTTTTTTATTGCTTTGTACAATAATAAGACTTATTTATTCGTGAAAATCGCCGTATATCATTCAAGGCAATAATAAACTTAGTGGAAACGTTCCAGTGGTTTTGTAATCTCCGTTTTCCTATTTAGAGTGCTGTATAAAACTTTTTTTCTAACCAGTAAATTTTTAAAAGAAACTGTTTATATATGGATGTGTAGGTTTTTATTTATTAAGTTTGTCTTCATGCAGGTCTATACGTAGTATTATTTTTGTAAAAAGGAACATAGTAAGGCAACTTACTGTAGAGTACTGATGCCAAAATTATACCTACCAGCTACAATTAGTAAAATATTGATGGTCAAAAAGACAATTGACGTAAATTATGAAGAATTAATTCAAGCTATTAAATTTGATGTTTTGATACAGATAAACTATTTTGAAAAAAAAAACATCCAGGTACAGTTTTTGTAATAACATAACATTTTCGTAGGTACTGTGTCTTTTAATTTGATTCCTATAGTTAGTGACCTTTGGACCCGCACGATAAGACTAGATTAGATTATCTATAATGCAATATTATTTGCGACCCGCCAGCATGTATCGAAATTATTGACCTTTAAGCATCTTATTGTCAAACTTGGCCAGCCTTTATTTCTTAACTCTTAAAACTGCGCTATTTTAATAATAATATTATTTGTTTAACGCTTCACGGCAAAAATGTAAATAGAAACCATAGGGGGTAATTAATGTTCTTTAGCATAATAAAAATAGTAAAACAATTTTACATAAGTACACCCCAAACATTTACTTTAAAGTAGATTCATACTTCTTCCCTAATATAAATTAACAAGACGAAATCTATTAGCAATGGTGAATTTTCTTTTAATTATTTCTTTATATAATTAAACTCCGCCGTTTCGCTTTAAGTTATTAAAACTTCTTCAGGGAAGTTTATGAAACCGAATCGCCCTGTGTAACTGCATGGTTCTATGATGTCGTTTGAGTCGCTTATAGGTCACTTGAGACTTTGGCAAGCAATGACATAAAAGAAAAGAGGTTTGAAATAATGGCGGTTTACCGGTCGGTTAGTGAAACTCCCACATGACAACTGCCAACATTCTTCCACAGTTTAATCCCTTTCACATCCAGGGAGATGTGCGTTTGTGTGTATCTGAATAAATATGTGGGTATAATGTGCATTAGAAGCACGCGACTCTGGTCCTTATAAGACGTAATAATAAGTAACACGATGTTCTGATTCGGTTCATTCGTCCCTTTAGGTATGTAATATGTACGCATGTACATGTAAATGCGTATCATATACATTCGTGCATGTGTTGTACGTAGTATATGCCAACAACTACCAAACATGCCACCACTATACGAAAATATTTGTTGCAGGGGATCCACTTCAGTGCTTCCGGTCGTGCCAGTGGAACAGATCGGCAATGGATGGATGTGAGTTATTTTCAATAGCATTTCTTTGCTTGTATATAGCAGCTATGTACTTATGCTTAATAGTATTTACTATGTTTGCCTGTCATGCAGAGTAAGTCATGTGCGGACTTATTTATTATTATATGAATCAATAGAAATCACAACTTACAGATTACGCTGGTGATAGCTAAATGTACAAAATAACAAAATACCCACAAATTTTACATAATTCGTCACTTTCACTTGTTTTAGTCATTGTGACATTCTGAGATTACTCTGCTGTTGAATTGACTGAACTATAGCAATATTTAAAACATTTCCTTTTTAATTTTCATAACTATCTGATTTTTACTCATTACATTAGTAGAAAGTCCTTTTTGAACAAATAAAAGCAACGGTTAGATATTGTATTACTAACCATTGAAATAGTTGTCTATTCTATAAGTGATAAACATATTAATTAATTTGAAGTAATTAACTCACATGCCAATACTGCACATTTGCAAAGATTTTAGTATAACAAAAAGCGTTTATGGTCATGGTCGTTTTATATAAAATCGCAAGCAGTTAAATGCTTCTTTTTATTATTTGTTGTTAATAAGCTGCAATTATTTTGGATTCATATGTAGGTGCGCTAAACAGCAGGGATGTTATGGAGGTCTGTAATCATATCCGAAACTATCGGATATCCTAAATAAAAATCTATCCAAAACCGTAACTGAATATGATGTAAAAGTTTTACAATAGGGGGAATGTCTAAATGAGACATGTTATGACAGGGTTTTCGCCAGGCCATAGATAACACTTAAAAAATGAGTACCTAGCTATAATAATCACTTATAAGAGTAATTGTAATTTTTTGTGATTGTAGTATGTACCAAACGAAAATTAGTAATAATTCTCAATCATTAGGTACCTATTTAAAGTTCCTTAAAAATCAAATACCTGTAACTGAAACTATCCGAAACTACTGAATACCTAATCCGAAATAATTTCCTATCTCCAACCGTATCTGAAACCGGTGAATACTATATGATATATCCGTATCCACATCTAGATCCCAAATTTCATATCTATAGCATTATTATTATACAGTACAATAAAAGCTCATTATTCGCGGGGTGTACGTTCCATACATACTAATAGAGAATAATACAGAAACCGTGGATATGGAATGGTAATTAGTATGGAATCATAGTTCTAAGGTTCCAAAATAAAACCAATATGTATCAGAATAAAATCAATTTATTCAGAAATTCGCATACATACTCAAAAGATGCCGATACATTAAGGAGATTCAGTAGTACACGGGCCGTAGAGTAAAAACATGCTTATCGGTTCTAGATATCATGAGTTTAATATTTGGAACAGAGGTTTGAAATTTTGTAGTAAGATAATTAAAGCTCTGTTCTAAAGCCTGTCGAAGGGCATTTCTTAACTTCTATTGGAAATACGTGTCCTACAAGAAGTATCAACTTTAAGCACTTGTAAAAGCTTTTAATGACCATGTTATTGAAAACCAAAAACGAACCGAGTTAATGTGAACATTTGTTTGTTACCATACAAAAAATCACATATTTATCTCACAGTGTTAAATCACAATGTTTAGAACAGAAACCATGTTTTCGGAAAAATTCACACTAGGCTCGAGCAGTCCATTGCGGTCAATCCCTTTAATAAATGACAACGAATTCTTTTCTGTTTACCGATTGCATCCGCGAATAATGAAATTTTTAGCCGCGAATGCAGGAACTGGGTTGCAATTTTTTCACCAGCGGATAATGAAAACGCGAATAAGGAAACAGTGAATAAGGAACTTTTACTGTACGTAAAAAGACACCAAAAAAACGAATATTAGATTATAAATAACAAATAATAAACATCAAGGTTCTGGGTAATCAGCATGTTTGCTGCCTCGGATTGGGATAATGAGGCGTGAATTTTGTCGGACACTGTTAATACCACGTAATTTAGGGTACATGTATGAAGTAATTTTCAAAATATCAGCTTGCAGTAACCCCAAAATTTCGACATACGTAATATATTACACGTGGCGGACGCTCAAAACGGAGTAACACTTTTGTCGGATAACTAATATAATTATCTTACAATTAAAATTGAAATAAAGTGTAGGTCATAAAAAATAATTACACCGTTAAATTAACATGTTTTGCGGCTGCACACTCGAAAACGGCGCGGTACTGAGAATTTTTCGTAAATAAAAAAGTTGTCGCACTCTCAACAATATGAATACACTTACGAAGTTTCAGCCTATAGGAAATAGTCGGTTAAAAAATGGCGTTATGACGCACCAGGGTCTATTTTATACGAAGAAAAGCTTTTATTTTAGTCACATGTCACATCACGCAATTTTACATAGAAAATATAGTTTATGTAAACGTTGACGTCTAAATCAACAAAAGAAATATAATAATTTTAAAATGCATATACTTATGGGAAATCTTCGGAGAGTTAATATTATTTGAAATAAATGAATGAAAATTGTCTTGAACTTAGAAGAAATCAAGCTGAATTGGTGAAATTAACGTTCTATTGTAAATAGATTCGTTAGATTCGTGAAATCAAAAAGTTATCTTCTTTAACTGTGAAATATGTATATACATATTTTTAAAATTAATACCCACAGACTACAGATTCACTATTCCCCAAATAATTTACAATGCCTAATTAAAAAACAATCAGGGATGAAAAATAATAATATGTTGATAGATTAATGCGCAAGACTACTGTCTCTGAAATATATATTTTACTTTTCAAACATTGATCAGTTTTTGCCACCAGCCAGAATTCCATTTTCTTTTAATTCTGCTAGGATTGGGCATACTTGCGTAGTACCAGTGGTTTATTTGCAGTCAGGATCTACGTTCTGTTGGTGATGAATAATTTGGCCCAAACAAAGGCAGACTAAATAGTTTTTGTTTTTTTTTAATTTTAGATTCCACCATTTTCTTGCGCAATTTTTCTCATTTCGCGATTTTCCTCGAATCCCTGATGTCTATTCGTGGGCTAAAGTCTAAAGGGTAAAACTCAGATTGGGAAATATCTCCCCATGCATACTTCAAACATCCGTACTCTCTCTATCTCTCTTTTGAAGTTATTTGTACAACCCTCAAGGGAATACGGTTGTAATTTCGGGCAGACATATCTATCAAGAAATGCGATTTTTAATTTTCATAACCACCCTTTGACTGTCATAAAAGCTTACATGTTTACGTTAATGTAATTTTGATTAAAATTTGTTGTGATTCTCGAAAAATATTAACGTTCAATTTTACAAATGTTGAAAAAAATTTTAGCAGTTTTGCAGGAATTTCGAAAAAATATATATGGAATATATTAGAATAATGTCAAACACACTCATCACCCCTATTTGTACACCCCAAACCTTTTTAATGAGACACGTATTTCGCTCACTTTTTATATTCTATATATACAATATATGTAGGGGGAATGTCTAAANTGAAACAACTAAAATGTTTTAAAAAATTCTATATTACCTATTAGCAGTAGAAAAATTTAAAAATAGATATGAGAAATACGTAGATATGACGAGGAGAGGCGTAAATGAGGATAAGAAAAGAACAAACAGTTAAATGGAAAACAAGGGACTGAATGTAGGTAATATGATAAAGAAAAGATGACCCGAAATGAATAGAGGGGAATATTTGAGAAAAATACAGATTTCGAAGTATGTAAAAGGAATGAGATGAGGGAGAGAGTTAAAATAGGCGGGGGTAAAAGGAAGAAACTTTGTAGATAATTTTTTTGAAGTAGTAGAAATGTAATAGAAAAGTTCTAAAATAATATTTGGAATAAAGCAACTGATAATGAAACAGAGCAGTTAAAGATAAGGAATTAAGACACAAATTATTAGATAGAAGATAACACTTTAAGAACCTAAATCATTAAACACTTAATGCATTTAGCAATTTATCAAATATGTATTGACCTTCCACTTTATCAAGTAGTTGCAAAAGAAGTACAGTAAGACCCCGCTTAACGCGCAGGATACGTTCCATCAAAGTAGAGCGTAATACGAAACAGTGCTAAACGAGGCTATCTTAACATGTAAATAATGGGGTTAGGGGAAGATAATAAAAATAAAACCAAACAAAAAAAAATAAAATTCTAAGTCAGTCAGATCATCCAATCTATTCTGTTTCCAATTTTCTACTTGTTTGTCAAGAAGACATTTAATGTAGTTTGCGTTTTCCTTTTGCGTTCTGTTAGAAGTTGTTGATAAGTGGATAAAACATCTATAACACCCCATCTTGCTTTCGAACTCCTGTCAAAATTTGGATCATTTTCAACAAATTGGTCCATAAAACCTACCGCTGAGCACAATTTCGGGGAATCCTCGGGTTGAAATAAAACAGCGCTAAACCGAAACAGCGCTAAACGAAATAGCGTTAAGCGGGGTCTTACTGTATTTTATAAAACTATAGTATAATACAACAATATACGAAAATGCTGTTTTACTAAACGTATGATTAAAAAAAATTTTGAAAATTACTATTGGACTCAAACTGTGAACGGTGCAAATATTGTGAAAAGTAGAGTAGTTGTTCTAAAATTTTCATTCGAGAACCTCGAATTTATTTCGCTTGAAAGAGGCTACATCAAAAGAAATACAACGATTATCAAAATTACTGTCACTATAAACTAACCTTATACAATACTACCCACCACAAATTAAAAGGAAAGGAGAATTGTACAACTGCTAACGTATACTGTATGTTTAATGCTTTGAACTTAACAAAGGTGCATGTAAGGATCTAAAATTAGGCAATTAGGATATTCTCTTGACGTACCAAGACTACTTCGTCTACCGTTATTGAACGACCATCCTGTATTTCTTATTGAAGAAGAGACGGTATACGAAAGTAAATTATTATGCTGCTTCTCAATGCATTTTTGTAAATGTCTAGATCAGTGATACTCAAAAATACGATCTTCAAAATATATGTGGGGGTGTGGGGGGGGGGACGCAGATAAGAGTC